TTTTGAAACCCTAAGCCGTTCGTTCATATTTTTCGATCAGCTTACAGTCCTTATGCCCTCTAAACCACATATCATCTGTTCATTATCCTACAATTTTTACGATTATTTCACTTCATTTCTTGTAATGATGGATCTTGTCGCCCATCAAGTACTTACACATTGAGGTTAGTGCTTCTTTAACACTTTTCCAGTTGTACTTCATTTTAGCTTCTCCTCCTCACAGTAGATATTGTAGAGCTAACAACCTATTTCTGAGAGCTATATTGAATTAATTGAGTATGTCCTCATGTCGAAGGTAGTCTGCATTGAAACTTTTTACTGCTGTTTCCAAAGTTGTCCAAGGATTTTCAACCTTCAGTTTCTCGAGCTACGTCAGAACCTATCCCGATCCCCACGTCTTATATTGATATTCTGAATTATTTTGGTGATGCAGATATAATCTATCTGGTTCTCTGCTATGTGATTCGGAGCGACACATGTAGGTCTGTGTATACGTTTGTACGGGAATATATTCCAGCAGTTAAGAAACTAAAGTTGATAGGCAACATTCACCAAATCTGCTGAACTCATATCATCCTGAGTTGCTGCTGTATGCAGTCTGCTTGTACAAGTTGCATCACAAAGCAAAAAGTCACACACAGAGAACGAAGACCGATGCAGAATAATATGAATTCATTTTCTTTTGTTAGATTCTTATTTGGCGCATAAAATCGATAACTATCTCACACCCGACACACATAGAAATCGACTTGTCACGGATTCTCACTAGAATTCCAGAAAATCCATCTTGAATCTAGTCACTAATGAGCACAAGACGGTTATGAACAAGTGTTGTAGGTCGGACGGAATTACTTACTAGTGACATCTACTCACTAGGTATGCAGTTATATATATTTCACTTCATCTCGTCTCATCTAATATCTTACTGAAGGCATTATATTACTTACTAATACTCAGTAGTTGGGTTCAGATTTGGAGATGTTTATTTTGTTTGACATAATGATCGGTATTTATATGGTTGGAAATTCATTTTTATTTGTCAAATAAATATGTAACACGAAAGAGTGATGTTATTGAAACAGAGTAGAGTGTGATGGATGGTTCAATGTGAAGCTGACATTTTCTTTGTGAATGTCAATGCAAAGTACAGATGGAAATTAATTTCGAACATTTCCCTACTTGTAGCTTCAAACAGCTTATTTTGCTGAAGCGTGATTTGATTACTTGTAGTTAGATAGTTTCCTGTTACTGATTATCTGAACACTCATTTTAGTTGTATTTCCTTTACAATTTAATTATTGAACTCGTACTCGCTTCCGATTTTTCTGTTTGGTCAGCAAATTGAGTCCATTTCTATATATCAATTACTTTTTCACTGACTAGAATGCCGAACTACGATTAGCATTCTGATCTGTTTTGTAATCACGCTGTCGATATATCAGCACTGTCATACATCATAGTGTCTGTTTCTTGATATCAATACATATTGACAATCGTCAACAGACAATCTACAGGGATGACATTGATGTATTATGCATCGATTCTCACTGAATCCTGAATTTCGAAATGTATTTTTGAACTCAATTCTCTGATCATACTTGAGTTATATTCCGTAGTAATTGTTACTTTGCGATTAGTTATATTGAACGATGGAATTCGTTGCTGGGTGTGACCGAAGATATCGATAACACTATATTTTCATCGTTTGTACTCATCACGCAGAATTAATTATTTAAAATGAGGTGTTTCACTCACCGTTTCCTCTGTCCTTGAATTCTAGTGATTGTCTTGCCTTCTTTGTCCTTGACTGGCCACTCTGGTTTACCATATTTCTCAGTTGCTTCGTTGTGTGAGACATCAGTCTCCTTTTGTTGCAGAACTTTCCACTGTCGTAGCTAGCTCTTTTGCATCATTCTTATTATCTGTCCCGATGCTCTTCTTCAATTGCTTGTTAACTTCCGTGTATCCTATCTGACTATCTCCGTTCTTGCTCGACTTTTATCACTTGCTACCTTTTTGTTTTTTCTGCCTTGAATATTGCAAAGGGTTGAGATGTGTTCAATGAAAGGATATCACGTTTTTCAATATTCGTCAAAAACAACTTTATTTTGTTTTCTGATAAAATATCAGTCCCTCTGAAGGGTCTGAATTAATGATTTCTGAATAATACCTTCTTACAAAAACCCATGCTATGTTTTTGACGGTCCCTTCTTATCTCATTTAAAGCAAGCACACTATAATGTTATCCTGCTGAATGAAACAGAGAAACGTAATACTGTGGTCAATCTAGACAAGGTCCGTAATAGCTTCTCATCCATACATCGAATCACAGACTTCCGAGTTCAGATGAGAATCCATTTGAACTCCATAATCTGAAACATTACATTCCAATGCATAATGGGAACGTGATCAGTTAGTGCACAGATTTCATCACATCACGTCACGAATATTCACTGGAACTACAATTGTGGTCAATGCAAAAATGTTATGCACAAATCGATACCAGTATACTATTATTTACAATGACATCTCAATAACGATGAAGCGAGTTTAGTAGACAGGTACAATGAATGTTGAATTAGGTCATATTGACTATGGAAATAATCAATACACACTATACCATCAAGTCACACACAGTTGCGGAATGGTCTGTCAATCTGATGATTATTAGCAAGACAATGTTTCTATTTCTCTCATATAATCGGTCATTTCATTAGTCGTTCAGACATTTCTCATAGCTAAAACATTCCAATTACACTTCTATTAATACATTTGTCAATTGAGTAGCAGAGTAAATTATAATGTGTATTTTCTTCCATCTTTCATTTAGATGAGAATACTTCGCTGTGGTTTGCTGATATTTAGGGTGATCTTCGTTCTGTCGAGTGACGTTTTACAACCAGCATGTAATGACAAAGAATCTACTGCATTATTCCTTTACTAAATTTGTTTAAATTTACCGCTCACGGTGCTGTATCTTAAATTCTGGGGGGCAGCGTCAAGGTTCATATTGTTATTATTCCAGTTAAAGTGGTTGGAGAGTGAAGCAAAACAACAAACCTTTCACTACTCGTGCATACCACAGATACATCAGATTACTAGACAACCCATCCTGTCTCATTAAACTGCTCTTCATAACCAGCACATATGTTCACAGTCAAAATCAGATGGATAGTTTTTCGATGAATGCAATCTAGGTGAGATCGTCTAAGGAGAATATCGATCCACATTTACGAGTTTATCTGTGAAAGAAATGAAATTTTAGTCAACAGGAACATCGTGTATGAATCAAGTTTCATACAACCAAGTATCTTTCACAATCAAGGTAGTCAGATGTTTTCTACATATATACTACTAGGACTGTAAACGCGATAATGCCCATCCCAGAGTCTATGTGAAAGCTATCTGTCATCAGTTATCTGTTTCTAAACGCAAGAACAAATAGATTAGAACAATAAATAAAGGAATTCCAGTCATTAGCGAAACGCACGAAAATACCGACCAGTATTGCGTGCCTTATCGAAATGGATGAAAATGATGATTCAAACTAATATAATAGAACAATAATGAATTTTAATTGATGGGCCACTTGCGACAAGGATAGTTAAATTATATATCAGACCAGATTAGCGTGATGGGAGCTTAAGCAACGATTTGACTGTTTGGTTATGTAAATAACTATCAGGCACAGTGATATGTGTACATTTATTAGTTGACCACGAATCGGTTTGCTTCATTGAAGTCTGTTAAAGAAGATGTGGACTTTTAGTTGTGGTACGAACTCAGAAATCTATTATTTGTGCTGCAAGTCTACTGATTATGATAATCGTAAAAGATTTCGTAAGCAGTATTTCAACGTATTGGATGAAACCGTTTTCCTTGTAATTCCTATAGTCGAAGTTAGAAAATCGGGGAGATTTCCTCAGTGTCGATTGATTTGGTGTGTAAATTGAAATTCAGATTACTCTCAAGAAGGGTGATTTTGTGTTAATTCGGAGTTCCGCTCGAGAGAATATTAACCGCTTTCAAGTCATCATAATTACTTTTTTCAATCATTGTTTTCTTCACGTTCACTAACCTGCTAACTCGCCTCTTACACCTGTAATGACACTAATTAAGTGTCACCGCGACGAATGAAGTGACTGGCATATCAGACTGATTCGGTCCAAGCGAAATTTGAGTGATTAGCGGATTAAGGGTGCATTCTCAAGGATAATCAACACCTCGAACAGATTTGAACAGAGTAATTCTAGCCTTCATCTTCACATATTGTCATGAAAGCAACAAGGCCTCGTGGTCATGTGGATATGCTTACGAACTTCTCCAGTCATATTTTTCAAAATGGCTACTCTTCAGTAAAAATGGCATCATGGTTTATTAGTTTACACTACAATGTGTGTTATCATTCAACCCACTTTATGCGTATTATCAGTCACATTAAAGTATCTTGGCACACGTGTTTAAGGATTCGAGACACTACGATAATCGCTATTTTCAGCAAGTGGAACTCGTTGACACGAAAAATATACTCAAACGAACATTTGTTTCTTCAAAGTCGGAGGGGATTTCTACTCGTTCTTAATATGTGAGATTCATACACTGCTCAGCTCACTCACTACTGCAGTGAATGATGCTTACATCGCCCTAACACTTCCTGTATTCAGTCAATCGTAATCTATGATTCAGACGATGATGTGCTGTGTATAAATAAAATTGAGGATATATGCTTGTTGCGTCTAGATGTTTGCTGCTATGAAACGGTCAACCTATACATCAATTTTAATCAAACCTAATTATTAAGCCATCAATTATTGACTCATCAAAAACAACGACGAATGGAGGAAAAATGTTCACGTTTCATAACAAACATTTTTATTAACTTATTATTAAAAACAAATTACTTAAAAAGAATAAAATGGAAAAGAAATCTCCTTCAGATCATCATCAGCTAAGATATTGATGTTAAGAAGTAAACTTTAAATAAACAGAATGTTCATTCACTCGTTTCACGTTCGCCGTCAACATCAGGAGGTTTAGGATATATCTCACGCATTTGCGAGATGACCGTGAGATACGGGAGGTTGAGGAATGCCGCCAGTTTTCGGACGACGACCGCGAGATACGGGAGGTGGGGGAAGGCCGCCAGTTTTCGGAAGACGATCGTGAGGCACGGGAGGTTGTGGAATGCCGCCAGTATTCGGACGACGACTGCGAGATACGGGAGGTGGGGGAAGGCCGCCAGTTTTCGGAAGACGATCGTGTGGCACGGGAGGTTGTGGAATGCCGACACCACTGGGAGGTTGAATGCGTAGTCGAGGGTCATCAGGATTCGGACGATGATCATCAACTTCGGGACCTATTTTAGGGGCATTAGCATAAAATGCTCCATCTTTTTCCTCTTTTAAATCGGTCGGGTCCATTCTTTCATTTTCCTTCACTGATTCTGTAGGTGCAATAAGAAAGAAATCGTTATTTAGCTATGTATCAGTAGTTACTAGCTCACCGTTATGGCAACCTGATATAAAAATGTCTACTTACTTTTCTCGCCATTGAAGGTATCAACAGCTGACTCAACGAACTGGATCATTGCAATGTGCACCATAAGCATCATGATGAGCATCTTGATATATCTCATTGTCAGACCGATTGTTCTCACGTCAGATGAAGAAATTGGTGACTCTCTTCCTCGACTACAATAAAATATAAAATCAACTATCACATCGACGCATATATACTCATACTGTCCAAATGACACAGACAATAACACGTTGACACACACGTTTGTGATTGGTCATAATTTGTTTATGCATTGAACGCAGAATGTACATACGGCCACAATACGTTAGCGGATTGGTAGTTTGTACGTTATACACCGTTCGATAACGATGGAGAGCACAATATCAACAGGGTGACGTAATGAGTGGGTATATCCAGCATTTGGCGACCGATCACCACAGCCTACTTGATGTGTATGATCAGGTCATGTTCACTTGGAAGTACGAAGACTGGTGATGAGAATGGGCGATGAAGGGACAGTCTTAGGCTTTCTTATCGATAACGATGGAGAGCACAATTTCAACAGAGTGACATTATGATTATGTATATCCAGCATCTGGAGATCAATCAGCTTAGTTTACTCTATGTGTCTGATCAGGTGATGTTGACTTGGAAGAATGGAGGTCATTGCTGAGAATAGGCAATGAACGATCAAAATTAGGTTGTTTTATTGCCATAATTGGAGGTTTGTGTGAAGAATGTGTCATGGCTGAATGAATGTAAGTTGCAGCATGACTGATCAAAATGTAATGATCCAATGGATTGTTCGCCACGCTGTAAAATTAATCCATATTAATTAGCATGTTAACTGTTACAGTGTGAACGAAATGCCTCGAAGATCAGACGCTCAGAATTCTGAGCGCTATTGTTGTGAGTGTAACGCGGAGTTGATGAGTCGATCGGCAACAGGCGGTACACCCTGGATTACCAGTTGTGGTCATTCAAGTGATGATGCTTTTTCAGCAACGATCAATATGTCCTGCTGGTCACTGTGTATTCACTCTCAAACTAGGCAGGGAATGTACTTCATCTTGTATTCTGCAGAAACATCAATTCATCATCATTGCAAGCATGCAAAGATTTTTAGGGTAGTGACCATAAAATAATTGTTGATCCACTTGCTATCTGTTCCATTTAAAATATCTCAAACAAAAAGCCAGTCGATATAAAGAGTATAGCCATGCTTATAGTAGCCTTTCGGACTCTGTGGTAATTATACAATTTAACTCATATGACATTTTAGTTTGTATAAACCAAATTAAATATGAATGTTATAGTTGCTTACTGTTTCATTACTACGATATTTGTACTTTCGAACGGTCAACTTTATCTGGTTAAATTTCGAAATAACATAAACAATTTAAAGAAAGCTGTGTCGACAACTTCAGATTACCGGTGATTGCATTATTGATATCGCAAGTTTAATTTTCACTACTCACAATCCAGATTCGTTCGTTCGAAATGTGCTTTTGCTCGTGGGTGCTTTAGTAAAACTTGATTATCATTAGATGCACTAGTTGACTTTCCGTTTGCTCTACTGTGCAGTATACGGATTGAGTTGTACTGTTCTGTTTTGATGTATGTCTATGTGGGGGGGGAGAGGATGAATCGGTAGTTTATCAATCGAGGGTTTGTTGGTGGTGGTAATGAGATGTTTGCAAATAAATATATCACTTCAGATTTGTATAAAATATATTGCGACTGATAGCACTACTAATAGTACTACTACTACTACTACTACTACTACTACCACTACTACTAGTACTACTACTACGTCTACTACCTTGTGTGAAAGAAGGGAAAGGGTAACGACTTTTCAAGCACGGATCACATATACAACTACCCTTGCTTTTAATTCTGTTCACATCTCACACCAATGACAAACAAGCGCATTACAAATCTCTCCTCATGAATGTATTCAAAAGTGTACAAACATTTTGAAAAACTGGCGTGAACGAGTTAATAATCAACTTGATTTCATTAAACACACAATTTCCTCTTGAGTAACACATTCACCTTTCCTACCTTTACGATTGTTGCGAAATTCACTATTTCAATTCCCCAAGTCAAGGTATATGAGATGATTATGCATATAATCTGAAATTTATATTTACAGAATTCACGCCATTTTAAAGTCATCCTCGGCCTGATATAAATTGTAACATAAAATGTAGAGAATAAACATGTGATTTAAGATTCTTTTAAGTTTACTAGTTCAAAAATTGTTTAGGTAGTACACTTATAAGATGTAGTTCAGAAATGCACCGCATCGGTCGGCAACTTTTCATTCTTTCTAAGTGCACATTCTGTTGATTAAGGAATGGTGCACTGAAGGTCATTTTCTGTGCAAAAACAAATTTATTATAATCATCTGTAACTAGAGAAACTAAAACAGAAACAGAGAGCATGGAACAGCAAAACAAGAATTACTAAAATATATTAATCAGGTCAACCATATTGCACTTGCCATGTGACTCAGTGATATGCTGTTCATCTTAGATATTATTCAAACTAGTTAGGGTGGCCAGGGACGGTGTTAACGTAAAATAACAACAGTTAAGTCATCTCACTTAGTGAATTAAGTAGCAGGAATAGCTGAAAATTTAAGGTTCCTACATTCTCACTTTTGCAATAAAATACACTTACACATACTAGAACATTTAATGTATTTTCAGAGGAGCAGTGTGCATTACCGAAACGTATTCATACATATTTTAGTTGTTATAAGCCTCAGTCGCCATTTCGAGCAACTTGTTAAGCTTCATGATGATGCAATTTAGCACGTTGTTTGGCTCATGAGGACAGGACGAATAAGCTACTCAATGATCATCCGCATACAGAAATGGCTCACCCATGAAGAAGCATTCACAAACATCATTTGGGAAAACTGAAAAGAGAAAAGAACCTAAGACACAACCTTGTATCACACCAATTCTAATAAGGAGAGCGTTCGACAATGAATAGTTAATTTTAACAACTTCATGACGGTTATCGAGGAAGGAATCAAACCAAGCAAGCAGAGGGTGTTGGACACAGTTGGATGTGAGCTTATCCACAAGAAGTTGGTGGTTAACCATATCAAAGGCTTTGGGTAGGTTCAGGTATAGCACTAAGACTAGAACTCCTTGATTATGCAGAGAATAGACTAAACTAATGAAGCCAAAGCAATATGTCACACAAGATTGACTTTTTAGAAATCAACGTTGGGAATCAATAATAAATCTTCCAGCGAGTAAACAGTAGGAGAGTTCATAACTAGCAATTTTTCTATAATCCTAGATACGACAGCTGTAAAATTTATGGGCCGATAATTGTTCATGTCAGTCTTATCTCCAGATTTGTAACGTGATATGATTTACGCTGTTTTCCGATAGTAAGAGTAAGTACCTGATTCTATAGAGATTGTGAGCAGCTTTATAAGAAGTGCAATATCCAGTCGACGCCTAACATTGAGGTTAAGCGACCGAATTCCATTTTGCAGAAGAATGATCTGTGAAAATGTGAGAACTAGCTTGGCACCACTTTACGGTCAGTACCGGGAAACATATTCAACAGAGTGTTGTTGAACCATACGAATGATTCAGTCGACGCCCAACATTGAGTTTAAGAGACCGAATTCCATATTGGTCGGTGGCGTATAAACCAAGTCGCGACATTACGGATCATCGTTAAACAACCAGTTACATGAAACTCGTCACTACACATCAACTTACTTCGCAAGCGAAAGCGTTTGATGGCGTGAGTAAAACAACTTTATGGAACCTTACTCGACATTATGTAGTGAGTGGCTGAGAAGATCATGAACATCATACGGAATTCATACGACGGGCTACATTGCATAGTGGTGCATGAAAGACAGCTCACAGATACATTTCAATTGAGGACTAGAGACAGAGAAAGCTAGTCACACTACCCTTCTTCTTCCTTCTGGTGGCTGGCTGTATTATGAAGATCTCGACATCTGAGGGAAAGCACGGAGTAAAATGTACAACTAGGAATCAATCGGAAGATTTGTACTTGGTAGACGACCTCTCCCTTCTATGCCATACTCACTAAGAAATTCAGATAAAGACAACTAGTGAAGCAACAGCCTTTGTACACGTCAGTAAGCCCTAACATACAGAAAGGAGAATGCATGAACATGAAATTCACCACACAGAATTCCAACACAATAACAACTGATAGAAAAACTCTGGAAAAAGATGGGACGTTTCATCCAACTGAATAACATGATCGATGAACATGGAAGATCTGATACTGACGTAAAGCCGAGGATTCGCAATGCAAGGACAGCAATAAGGCAGTTGATTAACATATGAAATTCAAAACAAATGTTTGTCAGCGAATAATGAACTCAGAGTGTTCAGTGCGAACTTCCAGAAAGTTCCATTTCGAGGAGCTGGAACTTGGAGAATTACCACAACCGTCAACAAAAATACGCGGTTATTTACAAACAGTTTCAACTCAAGATACCATGTTTCCTTTAATAGGAAACAGTCAGCAACAGCCTAATCTGGGGGAGAACAAACCGGCTTCCAGCTGGGTAGGAAATTAAGAATAGAGAAAAATGAGAATATTCCATTTAAATAGCACATTCTGCGTAATGAGTACAAACGATGAAAATATAGTGTTATCGATATCTTCAGTCACACCCAGCAACGAATTCCATCGCTCAATATAACTTATAGCAAAGTAACAATTACTACGGAATATAACTCAAGTATGATCAGAGAATTGAGTTCAAAAATACATTTCGAAACTCAGGATTCAGTGAGAATCGATGCATAATACATCAATGTCATCCCTGTAGATTGTCTGTAGACGATTGTCAACATGTACTGATATCAAGAAACAGACACTATGATGTGTGACAGTGCTGATATATCGACAGCGTGATTACAAAACAGATCAGAATGCTAATCGTAGTTCGGCATTCTAGTCAGTCAAAAAGTAATTGATACATAAAAATGGACTCAATTTACTGACCAAACACAAGAGTCATAAACAATTTCCATCTATACGTCGTGTTGATGCATAAGGAACCATCCACCACACACTACTCCGTATCAATAACGTCTCCCTTTGGTGTTATACATCTTCCTATTCTTCTTCGAAATGAATTTTAAGCCA